CATAAAACACATTTTACTGGATTAACATTCTTTATTCTATAGTTGACATCTGATATATCAAAACTAATACAACATGTAAAAGGCAATATTACAGTTACAGTACAGTAACAATAATTTTCTGACAATACATATCAAGTAATCAAAATGTCATAAAGAGACTATGTGCATTCAAAATTGTGAAAAATGTAGAATTACACATAAAATGAATTTTAAATACCTACCTGATTGTCCTGTACATTCACAACTGCAGCAGCTGTTTGTGAGGCTGGCATCATACCTGTAAGGCTGCTGTTGCAAGCTGATCCCAGATGAGCAGTGCTTTGCTGTTAACACATCAGATGGTTTTAAGAATGGTAACAGGTCATACTAGATACAGGAGAACAATCAATCATCTTGCAAATAAGAATATTTACATCACACATGTAACCACACCTGTCCTTGGTGCTGAGCACCACCCTCACACATGTAAGCACACCTGTCCTTGGTGCTGAACACCACCCTCACACATGTAAACACACCTGTCCTTGGTGCTGAACACCATCCTCACACATGTAAACACACCTGTCCTTGGTGCTGAACACCATCCTCACACATCTAAACACACCTGTCCTTGGTACTGAACACCATCCTTACACATGTAACCACACCTGTCGTTGGTGCTGAACACCATCCTCACATGTTAACACACCCGTCCTTGGTGCTGAACAACATCCATGTGCTTTTCCAAGTATGCAATCCTAGGCTTCCTGAATTTGCCCATGTCAACCTGTCTCCCAGACAGAATCCTGTTGTTCTGTCTGTCACCCCCCCCCCCATTCACATGCTGTCAGCCTACTTTGTAAGGGCAAACAGATTCACAAATCCCCATCTCAGCCTCAGTACTTACGGACCCACAAAGTAACCTATACATTCATGGCTGCAGTAGGTGTGAAATGAAAGATTGCAAAAGAAAGATAGCAGACTTTTCATGGAATTTATCCAGTTGCTTTTATATTTTGCATTATGGTTTTAAGAATGGCAACATAATGTATTTTCTTTAAAGAAAACAGAATGTCCCAGAGTACACTTAAGTTGGTCATTAGAAATTTATACCATTTTATATCAAACAATCCTTAATTAAGGTAAAGTCTTACAGGTTGGTAGATGACATGATGATGATGATGATGGACCACCACACTTGTTGAGGGGCCCTGCTCAGTCACTGCCTTGAACCTCTCACCAGCTGCAGACCCATGGTCACTTACCCTGGCTGACTCCTGTAGAGGAAAGCTTGGCTAATGTATCAAATTGTATCTTTAATATGTAATCATTCAAATTGTACATAGTGATTACCTATATGGACAATATGCAGTGCATACAATCACATAGTTTGTCATGCATAATTATGGCTACGTGGTGTGGTGAAGACATACTGATCTCTCTCTCATGTTTTTCCTCCTGCTCCTCCTGCCATTTCTTTAAAGGGATTCAACTCTGCCATTTTCAGCCAAATGACCTGAAATTTGACATGGAAATGTGACAGGGAAATATCCCCAGATGTTGTTTTTCAAATGACCTAAATTCAGCATAAAGGTAGCGTGGTACCAAATGCTTAGACTATAGTGTTCACTATTAAGGTTCAACCCTTTAAAATACTTCTATTTACCTTATTTTGACTAAAAACAGCAATTGTAAGTAGCTTGAAAACTCAAATCCCCAACTGACAGTTAGAACACTTGGGTTCTACCAGGCTACTACATGTTCCAACAGCAGAAGGCGTTGGAAGATTCCATTGCTGCATGGGACATAGACTATTGGAACACTTCATATTTTGGACAGGGTTCATTTAGGAACAGTCCATTTGTCCATTTCTATTTTTGGTACGTTGGATGTGGTGAAGCAATCTGCTGCATTTGCTCTTGAGCAAATGTCGGCCTTTCTAGTTAAACTAGTATTTTGTTTTAGGTATACCATATCGTCTAGCGCCATAGCTGAAAATTGTGCCAAATTCAGTGCTTTTAGAGAATTTAGAAGCACTGAATTTGGCACATATGTAGGTTTAAATATTCTGAACAACTCTGGAAATGAAGCCATCTTAAATTCTGCCTAGAACTGTATAATCAGGTGTTTTGGGCTATTTTCAAATAAAATTTATATACTATACGTATTTCTGCATAATTCTGTTGCCTTTGAAGTAAAGCCTTGGAGTACATTTTGTTTTTGTTAGAAACTCTACAACCTAATCTACCTTTTCTTTCCTCTCATGATCTGTTTCCTTTGTAGAGGATGCAATATCCAGCCCCTGGTCTGAGACACTTTCTGCGCCGTGAACAGGCAACTCAGATCCTGGTGTGTTTGTCTTGTCTGCTGTAGAAAGTACAAACAAATACTTGCCCTTCATGCAATGATGGCAGTCATACGATGACCCAGGGATACATCGATTGGCATGTTCAAGTCACTTTTATGTCACCAGCAAAAATGTCAAAATAGAGAAAATGTTGATTAGTTAAACGGGAGCATGGACTCGATGACCACCATTCCACCTCATAATTTATCTTCCCCTACAGGTACAGAAGTACTAGTATTTTGGAGACCTTTGTCTGTGGGTTTTTGCATATATATACTTGTACAAACAAATTTGGTTGACAGCACGTGGGTGGGGGCAGATTGAAAGGCAGAATGAGAAGTTCAAAAGGTCAGAAACTGGAAATATGGCAAATGGGAAGGTCCCAGAATCTAGCTGGAAGCCAGCAGAAATTAGAGGTTGACATCACTAAGTCTGCATATAGAATCTGGCAGGTTCCATTCACAGTTTCCAGTCGATTCTATTCAATTCTTTTATTTTCTTCACTTCAACTTTTCATCGTTATCAATCTTGACCTTTGAATGGCTTAACTTTGAGCTGTACATGTAAGCAGTGATTTTGGTTTTAAACAAAATGGATCCCATGTGTTCTACGAAATGTTGTCCTCCTAAATTGTTTCCACCACACTTAATGTAACCTGTCAACTTTTATAAGTTGAAGGGGTACCCAGTTGTTTTATGATGAACTGAATAAATACATGTAGATAGATAAATTTTCTTACCGATGAGATTGCCCTTTTTTGCTCCTGTGTTGCTTGATTCATCTTCTGGTGATTTTCTCTTACGATCTCCTTTTTTCTGGCGGTAGTTGCCAATGAAATTCTGAAATGATGATAGCAGTTTATCACGAATTCTGTGTGCAAAGCCTGTGGGCAAGTGAACAAATCAGGTAATACACAAAAGGGTTTGGATGTCCACTCTAGACAGGTATTTTCTTACCAAAACCTGCTTAACAGTTTTCCCGGACTGTTTTGCAGCTTCTTGTACCAGTGGATCTTTATTACTTGCAGTGGTCATTCCCCTCTCTTCATAGAAGTGGACCAGAACAGGATCAAGTCCTTTCTTTTCTTTAGAACCCTGAATACAATATCGAGTATTAAGATTCCTAGATGAGAAGTGTAAATATTAGCTAAATGCAGTATTATTATAATTACATTACAGTAGGTTTACGACTGTCACAGGAAATTGATAAAATTGAGAGCATTTTTGAGACAGTAAAATGAGCACACAAGAACACACTGATATTGATGTGACAGAATCAACCACTGACAAAGATCTATCATGAATTCAAAGCCCTTTCCACAATACTGATGATGATTTGACTCTTGGTGCCTTTTGAAACATACAATAATCATGTACTTTCCAATGCACAAAGAGAAGGCAGGTTAGTGATTCTAGCTCTAATCACAGACTGATGAACAATTCCTGTACCTTGTCCCTGCTGTCCTTGTCAGCCTCCAGTCGTTCCACACACGTCTGATGACCTCGTTTCTTAGCCTCTCCAATGGGGGTGTTGCACTGAGAAGACAATCGTCACATTTTATATGATAAATTATTACCTTTATGTACACATTTAAAGGGAACATATCTTATAGGACAATGTTAAAAAAATAGATATTAGTAAATTTTAGCAATGCCACCAATCAAAACATATCCTCATCCCAATTTACTACAGTCTTCGTAAGGTAAAATAGTCTAAAAGCATGCTTGTTGTATTAAGCAGAGAATACCATAGCACACCTTGTACATTTGTTGTGCAATAATCTCTTGTTCTTGATATTATAGTAAGCAGAATATTATTTTGTATTTTTATTTTCAAACAGCAGCTTGTAGTTGACTATATCATGTAAGTCAAGGTACGTTTACTTAGTGAATAACCTAACCACATGTAGATTTAATTGTTCTGACTCTAACATGTACAATATATATAGCATGTAGGGAAGTTTGAAATGAACTGTACAGCTATGCACCAGATTCATTTTTTTTAATTTTAACACTGGAAGTCTTGGAGTCAGAAGAAAGCCCCTAAAAATTCATTTTACCACAGCTGACATCTGTCCCATGTCAACTTACCCACTTGTCTTGAGCATTCACATCTGCACCAGCTCTTATCAGAAGAGAAACAGTTCTACAGTCACCATTCCAGGCTGCCAGGTGCAGGGCAGTCTTTTGCTGCAAAGTATTTAAGGGCTTTAACATAGTAAAGTAGTTGTTCGGCTGCCAACTCTTTAATTTAGTAATGTGGGAGAAGGCTTAGATAGTCACCCCTAAAACAACCATTTGAAAATGAAACAAAGATTAGATGATTCTACAGGAATATTTCATGCACTGCAATTATTAGCAAAATACTTAAAAACCTGGTACCTCGTTGTCCCGTGCATTCACATCTGCACCTGCTGTCAGTAACACAGAAGCAGCTTTGTGCTGGCCAGTCATGGCTGCCAGGTGCAGGGCAGTCCATTGCTGTAAGATATGTCAGACATGACATGTGCATGTACATAATGACATCAAGATCAGGAGGCAGCTCAAAGTAAACCCTAAGTTGATGATGTAAATAAATACCAGACTTGGCTTGACAGTTCATCCAACCAACTCCAGTCTTTGTCAAGGACTTATTGTTCTATCTGCTTACATGACCTCACAGAAATGCATGGTGGATTGCTCATTCCTTGACAAAGAATATTAAGTTGGTCAGATGAAATAGAGGGTAAGTCCATTTTTTTTGTTGCAAATTATGGTTCAACCTTGATTCAGAAACTCTCAAGTTGACTGCCAGATAAATATGAAATCTATACATGACTTTACGGTTACGTGTACAATCAATCAACGTACCTGATTGGTGAAAGCGTTAAGATCTACACGGCCTTTGGCCATCATTAGCAAAGATCTTACAGTCTCATCATAGCCATTCCGAGATGCCAGGTGCAAAGCAGTCCTTTGCTGTAAAAGACATCAGGTTTTAGTCATACAAATATGTCCATATTACTATTAGGACAGTGCAAAGGACACCCAATTTGCATCTGATTCAGCTATTATGTCCTACAGGATCAAATGCATAACAGTTGCAACACTGGTACCTCAAATTGCTTAAATTGCAATATTTATGTAGAATACTGGAAAAGGCAAGTCTACTGGCTAGTACAATCATTGATCTAGTACAATCTACATATAGATTCTGACTTAAAGGTAATAGTATAGAGTTGCACATAAGGAGTTTAGTATGATGGTAATGTACATGTATAATGCTTACCTCTCTATCCCGTGCATTCACATCTGCACCAGCTTTCAGCAAAGTTTCGACAGTTTCAGTGGTTCCATTTGCAGCAGCCATGTGCAATGGAGTGCTTTGCTGTATAATACATCAGACAGCAGACCTAAGTCTTTAGTATGGTCAAAGGATCAACCAAAGTATCCTAACTGTAGCCCCAACATAATCTTTGTACTTCATTCAATTGTACCACATCATCAATACTTGACGATGATGTACTGTTATTTGTAGTCGTAAATGTAAGATAGTATATTGTCCTGTAGTATTGTTGTTAAAAGAGTTGGAATACGTGTATGATTGTCAAACAATGAAAAGTTCTAGACCAAACCTATTTTGGCTTCTGAGACTTCCCTCTCTGCAAATAGCGGGAGACTTGGAAGCTAAAATTATAAGGTCTGGTAACCAGGCTAATAAAATTCATTCAAGCATTTCTTAAGTTGGTCAGCAAAAAATTTTACAAAATCTTCATTGAGTATTGCACTACAAGATGAATATCACTGTGACAATCTTTGACAAAGTTCCAAAAACATTTAATGTACCTCAACAGCCAATGTACAAACCTCGAAGTCCTGTGCATTCACGTCTGCGAAAGCTACCAGTAAAGCTCGGACAGTCTCGTGGTGGCCTTTTGTGGCTGCATCATGCAGAGGCGTGGTTTGCTGTTGAACACAATTTTGACCTGTTTTCAGAATGTCTTCAGGATGGAATGACAATATACATGTATGGCTGACATAGTTTAAAATATGTTTTGTGTTTGATATGACATCTGGGGTTGGAGGCCCATTAGCCTGGTCCAACCTCAACTTGAAGTTGAATGGATGAATAACTTGAAGCTGACATACCTAAGGTTAAAAGAAGCTGTCTCTAAAGTATCTGATCTGCAATGGTGATTATGGAAATTTAAGGGGTGATCTCTTGTAATGTTACTTCGTGTTTTCTGGTGATGTATTTCTAACAGGATATAGCAGCTAATAGACTGTCCTGTTGTAATACACAAATTTGGTACACATTGACAGTGGATGTACATGTACATGTACCTACCGTCATGTCTCGCACATTCACATCTGCACCGGCTACAAGTAGAGCTTGTACAGTTTCAAGGTGTCCATTCACTGATGCCTCGTGCAGGGCAGTCCTTTCCTATTGAACAATCATTAGATAACAAGACAGATTGAAGTACAGTCAATCTGGTAAAATGTGGCTTATGTGGACAGGTGGTCAATATACATTGTACATGTAAACATGATTCTTGATGCTTGTGTTAATGGGAAATTATCTAAGAGCTGACCATTCAAAAGTGGCCACATAAAAAAAGTTAAAGGTTTGAAGGTCCTCAGTCAGAGAGTCATGATAATTAGTCAGACACTGATATCTGCCATAAGATTTGTCATAGATATGATAATATGAGAACACTCAAAGCCCCACATAATAAGTTAAATTTACCATAGAGTCTCGGGTGTTCACTCCTTCACCAGCCTTCAGCATAGCTGAGATAATTCCATGGTGACCATTCCGAGCTGCCCAGTGCAGGGGAGCACTTGGCTGTAAAAAAAGTAGTGGAGCTCCATTAATTGATGAGGTTGAATTCTGAGTCATGTGAGGTCAGTAGTCGTGGCTTTATGCATCTAATTGACTTGACCTGTTGTCCAAATACATTAAAGTAGTAGACTGGTTTATTATTCAAAGACAAGTCACATGGCAGCCAACAGGCTGAATTGACAGACTCGTGTACAAATTGGCAGATCATTATTAATTCGCTTAAAATATCTAAAATCGTTAAAATGACAAAACAGATAAAAGCAATATTTAGTATGAGGAACATTACTGGGTGTCGCCCCCTGAAGGACCGAACTACAAAAAGTCAATCTGCGTGTGCATAATAAACTCTGGCATAGACATATAAAGTTATATATATATATGATAGAAAGAACAGTATCAGGGTCCTTTTGACAAGTAAAATCGTTAACTGTACAATTAAAACCTTCCATTATTCAACAAGTGGTCGTCGAGGCTCTTATTAAGAACATTAAATTGAATTCTTTATGAGTCTTGTCATGTGCGGAATAGCGCTATTTCTGTAGCGATCAGTTCTACAGCGTTGTAAGTTCAGTTTACTAGAAGAGCGGGTGAGGCGACTGCTGATGCTCTCTCTTACGGGTGGAAGGAAGTGTCTGTACAGGTTGGATGTCAGTAGAGACTTGGCAAACTTCAGTGTTAAGTTCGATCGACGTGTGTGTAGAGTTTGTAGGTTGAGAAGGGTGCACGCTTCTGCATAGTCAGTGTAGTCGGTTCCCAAAATTATTCGGACTGCCCTTCGCTGGACTCTCTCGAGTTTCTGATTCAGGGAACTTGTCAGGCCAGCATGCCAGACTGGGGCAGCATACTCAGTGATAAGGCGAACATAGCACGTGTAAACAGTTACAAGATCCTCCTTTGGAACATGGAAGTGTTTTAGTCTCCTCAGCAGGAATAGCCGTTGACTTGCTCTGTTGCA